ATCGCATCACACTGCACCCCAGCCTGGGCGACAGAGGGAAACTCCATCTCAAAAAAAAAAAGAAGATAATATGAGATGGTGTCGAGGTTATGAAGGTACCAAACAGGGCGAGGGAATGGCACTTTACTCAGGGAGCTATCTTTTGTGTGTGTGTGTGTGAGATGGAGGTGTCAGTCTGTCACCCAGGCTGGAGTGCAGTGGTACGATCTTGGCTCACTGCAGCCTCTACCTCCAGATCTCAAGTGATTCTCCCACTCTGCCTCCCAAGTAGCTGGGACTACGGAAGTTCGCCACCACGCCCAGCTAGTTTATGTATTTTTTGGTAGAGACTTCGCCATGTTGCCCAGGCTGGTCTTAAACTCCTGAGCTCAAGTGATCCACCCACCTTGGCCTCCCAAGGTGCTGGAATTACAGGTGAGTCACCTCAAGGGCACTACCTTACATGTGGTCAGTGGTGTGCGGGGGCCAGTTCACATTGGCTTGGGAATGGCAAGTATATGCGTTTCTTCCCAACTCCAGCTATGCTATAAATCAGGGTCTACCCACTACCAGAACTGGTTGTTAAGCATTTAGCAGCACACCAGAAGGAGGTCACTGAGGAGAAAGAAGAAAGCCCAGAGACTCATGAGAAACCAAACAACTCTGAAAGACAAGGCCCTGTGTTTTAAAATGAGAGTTATTGTCATAAATTCCAATGAATCAAAACAACACCAAAACAAAAAGCCACACAAAGAACTATATTCAACAATATGTGATCACAATTTCCCTCAACACAGTGAGGGGAAGGGTCTAGTGGTGGTTTGATTTGGCTTTTAAATTGTATCTCTTTTATTATCTCCATACTGCCATACACACACAAAAAGTGGACGGATAGTTATAGTTCCTGGGTAATTTGAAAACCCACAAAATTCACCTGCAAAAATATGTAAGCATGACCTGGAATACACCACTTTGGGAAACTACAATCATACCATTTTAAACCTTTAGAGTCTGGGTGATTCATGGAAACACAGGATTTCATGAGCACAAATAACCTGAAGAGGCGCACCCACTTATTTTTGGCATAGAGAAATTTAGGCTCTAAGAATGTGACTGGCAGAGCTTATTCTAGAACCCAGGTCACGTGCCTCATCTGATGTCATCTTCTCAATTTTGGTCTATACCCTAGTACAGTAGTTCTTAAAACTGAGTGAGCATCAGAATCCCTTGAGAGCTTATTAAAACACCCCATGGATGTTATCCCACCCAACACCAACCCCATCCCCCGCAAAGGTTCTGAATTGGTAGAACTAAGGTGAGGCCCAGCAGTATGGATTTTTAACCAGTTCCCAGGTAATACTAATGCCACTGGTCTGATGACCTCACCTGGAGACCTACTGTCCCAGGAATTGGGAGCACAGGCTTTGGAATCAGACACAGCTGAATTGCAGCTCTACTTCTGCCACTGTGGTATGACCCCTGGAAAAGTTATCCAAATTCTCTGAACCTCAGCTTCTAACATCTGAGTCCAGTTGTAAGGATTGAAAAAGAGAATGCCCACGAAGCATCAGCTTAGCCAAGCGCCTATTATATTCTAAGACAAGATCTTAATAAATATTAGTGACATCCTATATCCTGTATCACTTTTCCCAAGCATATACTAGAACCACTAAAATTCAAAAGACAAACAAAATCAAAGATTTGCAAAGATGTAGAGCAACTAAAACATTAATAACAGCTTTATTCATAATAGTAAAAAATAGTAAATACTCCAAATGTCCATAAACAAGCAAAAGGACAAACTGGTATGTGTATACAATAGAATATTACTAAACAATAAAAAAAAGAACCAAATGAAGTATACATGCAACAACATGAAACCTCCAAAATATTTTGTTGAATAACAAAAGCCAAACACAAGAGTATATACTGCATTAGTTCATTTTTATGAAGTTTAAGACAAAACTATTCTATGGTAAATCTATGGTGCAGGGGGAGGGGGAAATTAAACGGACAGGAACATGAGAAAAATTTCTGGGGTAATGAAAATGTTCTCTATCTTGATTTGAGTGATTAACCTGAGGGCATACATTTCTTAAAACTCATCAAATTATATATCTAAGATATGCATTTTACTATAGGTAAATGATTCCTGAATACACATAATTATATATAACTTTGTAAAGGCATTTTATGACAAAGGACTGTCTTCTCCATTTAAAATGAACTAACTCCAACCTTGCAGACCCACTGAGTTTGATTCCTGCACAATCTAGTCCTGCCGCAGACAGTTTTGGTCCATGTATCTTTCCAGAGAACTGCCATGAAGTAGAAACAGAATTTTCTCCCACCATGTAGACAGTATCCAAAGTGACCTGCGTCCCTGGGAGTGGCTAACTTGGGATGCAAACAACACAAAAGTAATATTTTTCTTTACCATATACCAAATATGAGCCTACTTGATATGATTTTAAAAGGCATAGTCATGAAGACGCATTAAGAGCAATTCTGTCATACAGTCTAAATCATATTCTCAACATGGAAGAGGGAGCAGAAAACTGGTGAAACGGTTTCTAGGGCCATCTTTACTGGTAATGAAGACGTCAGAAGATCCAACTGTGCCTGTGTAATTATTACATGAAATAGTCACTTTCAGATTGTAATGAATTCCAGGCCATTCAGGTTTCCTAGTCAGTATATTTCTATCTCATTACAAGTAGATTCACATACATACATACATACATGCACACACACATACATACACACACACAAACATACACACACACTCGCCCCTGCCGTGAACAATCTGTGCACACAGGGTGAAGAGAGCTAACACTTCGAGACACTACAGTTTCCTTTGAACTCAGAGGTGTCTGATTCCAAACCCACTTGATTATCTTACCAAGCCTTCTTAAACTCCATGATGAGAGAGCCCTGGGACAGTCACCTCCCAGAAATTTGGCAAGTAGTGGAAGGAAGAGACACAAGCCCATGCAGCATCTTGCACACTGCAAACACTGCAAACCAGCCCCTATTCAGGCCCCGTTAGACACTCCAAGACATCCCACTAGTTGGGCAGGTACCCTTGCCTGTCCTTCCTCCACCCTTTCTCCAAAATGGTCCTCAACTGAGACCTGCAGCTGCTCCCATCATAGGCCTTCACACAGTATTTTCTCTACAGCTCTGTCAAGTCATAATTATCCAGGTTCCTGACACTAAAAACTAGTTTCAGAAATAAATAGCTGCTCAAAATCAATTCAAACATAAATAGCTAATCTTTATGGAGCACTTACTATGTACAGGCACTGTTGGGTGCACTTTCCATGTGTTAGCTTACGCAATACCCACAGGAAAGCCAGTGTGAGGAAGACGCATTGTCAGGCCAGGAAAGGTTTTGAACCTCAAGCAAAATCTGGAGAGATATGCCAGGAATGAGGCACAATCTCTCCCTTTAATGAGCTCACTACCTTGTATGGAAATGAGGACCTAACTCAGTTCACAGTAAGTAAAAAACCACAAGATAGACATTAAAGGAACCAAAAGGAGGAAGAATTTGTTCATCCTAGCAGGATTCTGGAAGGCTTCTTGCAGGAGGTATCCAGGTGGAGAATGAAGTCATAAATGCAAGGAGCTTTCCATAGCTAAGTGTCAGCTCCTCAGCTCCCAAAGCTGCTAAAAGGCCAGGTTAGTCCCCCTGCCCCCTCCTCCATTTCATCTGGAACAGGCCTGTTTCCAAGAGAGGACCAGCTCAGCCCAGCCCTTCCTTTGACACATTCCTCCAGCTGCTGCCTGTCCTTATGGAAACACATGGGAACTTTTCACCACGTTCAACTTCACCACCTCCTTTGGTGCTTTCACTAGGGAGAACCTGCGTCATGGCACCTGACTGCACAAGGGAGCCCTTTAAGGACCTCAGTTGTTCTCCATTGGGTTGACATGGGGACAGTCCCTTGTCGGTACCAAAGTGAGATGTAAGGGACCTACATCACCAGCAGCCACCAAATGCATCTTTTAAAAGGCCTCTACAGATTTTTGAGAGAGGAATTTGCTTCCACTCCCTTCTCAGGAATCAGCCCCTCCAATCCTGTAGGGTCATCCCCCCACTCCTTCCTCCTCCGTACTTAAGGCTCTGCAACAAGAGCTCAAACCCTCGGTTTTGGCAACTGTGTGACCTTGCGCAAGTCACTTAACCAATGTCAATCCCAGTTTCCTTATCCCTAATATGGGGTATATAAGAACAACTCGTTCATAGAACTGTTGTAGTATCGGAGTGAGATAGCGCAAGTAAAGTATTTTACACAGAGCCCGGCATGTAGTAAGCCAACAATGAATACTACCTTCATTTTCATCATCAATAATGACGATGATGGTGGTGGTGGCAGGGTAAACTTGGACCCGATTCGAGCTAAAAGCAAACACCCCCTCCCCCTCTCCCCCTAGTCTATGGCTGGGCCACACGGTGGAGACACATGCGTCATCTCGCTGAGGGGTGAATGCAGGCTTTTCTGGCGGCGGGCTCAGGAAAGGCCAGGCAGTCGTGTCCTAGCTCACCTGGAGGGGTCGCGAGGTGAAGCAGATTTTCTGATGGGGGAGGTCCAATAAACTACATACCCTCTCTTTCTGTATACTTTGACTCGTGGCCAAAGAACGCCAGCTGCATCCCTCCCCCAAGGAGCCAGGACAGCGTCCACTATGCCCCTGACTCAGTTCCCCAACTCTCCCTCGGGTGCAGGCGAGACTGCACTGCACTTGGTGGCGGAGATAACAGGTTGGCCAGCCAGGCCTGGGAAACGTCCCCTAGCTACCTTGCGCAAACCCAGCCCCCTCTTCAAAACGCAGGTGGGCAAACAACCCCACAACCTCGCAACAACTTTGTGTATTTCACCGCCACCACAAGGCGCACGGCCTCAACTTCTCTTCACTGTGCTCCGAGGAGGGAAGCGGGAAATCGAGAATGAGGGGCAGCCCACAGACCGCCCTCCTTTTCTCAGGGCGCCCCCCAAAGGCGCGCCCCGCCTTACCTTGTCTGACGGCTTTGAAGGTGACGGCCTCCTTGCAGCTGTCGATGACCCCCAGCACGTCATAGCGGGGCAAGCCGGACACCCGGACCCCCTGCACCTCCAGAAGCAGCTCCCCTTCGCCCAGCTTCGGGCCCTCGCCACCGCGGAGAAGCCCCGCTGCCTCGGCCGCCGCCACCGCTCCGACGTACGGAAACTCCCCGTGCTCCGCGCCTCCCAGCACCGTCACCCCCAGCTCGCCCTGGGGTCCCCGCTTCACGGTGCATTCGTGAACCCTGCTAGTCCAGTGGTTCTT